TTTTTACTTCCCTCTTTACTTCTTTTGTTTCAACAGTCCTTAATTAACAGCCTGGGTAGAATTCCTTGCCTTAAACTTAAGGTAGTGTGTGTAGGAGCAAGCTGCTAAATGAATACTGTGCATCCATTAAATTGAGTTACTTTAATTTAGCTTCTGAGCTCTATTTGTAATTCTGAGGTCTGTCTAAGGGTAAAATCCTTGGAAGTTCTGTATACACAGAATGGCTGAAACTCTAGTTTCTCACTAGCTAAATAATGGTGTAAAAGTCATGTTAATGTACACCATTTGTTATTTTAGCAGTGATAAATGAGGTTGAGAGAACTTAATTTTTTGACCACTGACCTTTTTAGTTTTGCAGTTTATGCCAACAGCAAACTTAAGAACAAACAAACCCCCCACTTTTGGCTGATCATGGCCATTATTCAGCGTATCTAGGAGAAAAGGTCTGCTTAAGATACTGTAAAGTGCATTATAATTTCTCTACATATTAGCCATTTGTCATAACTTCAGCTATCTCTGTTCTAAAGTTAAGCTGCTTCTGATGTTGGCTGTTAACCACTAAAATGATACTTTACTAGTTATTACTTTTTTAATTAAGCCCATGTATTAGCTATAAAGCCACTTGAGTGCATTGTAAATAAAACGCTGTAATAATGAAGAGCTTTAATTACACTCCCTAAAGTATGCATAGTTCTCAGTAATTTTTTTATTTAAATTATTCACATGTTCCCTTTTTTCTGAAAAGCAGTTTGAATTTCTGTGAAGATGGAGATTCAGCCTTTAAAGTAATTTGAGCAAATTCCAGGGCTGTTCTGTAGTTAGTGAGTTTTCACAGCATTTGGAGCAAGCTAATTGCTTCTGCTAATAAATAATCTAAAATCGATGCTGACAGCAGTTAATTGGCACTGAGACTTTATTCTGTAAAGCACTTGGCTAACGACCTTCCTTAAATTAATAGCATTAAGTGCTATGAGGAAATAAATCTAAGGAATTGCCTGTCATTCGCTTGTCATGTCTAATAACTTCCAATAATGATGGTTGATAGATTTTTGCACACTCCATTATTGAAGTTGGTGCATGTAATTATTCTCCTCATTATATGTAAACAATTAGCAATATTTGGTGTTTCCTTGCAATAAAGCTTTTAAATACAAGTAGCCCATTAGAGTTTAGAAACTATTTTTGAAAGCAAAAATTTCATTTCAATTGAACACAGCAAATCTGCAGGTATCTGAACATGCTACTAGTTCACTGGACTGAGCTTCACCTTTTGGTAACATTAGTAAGTTGCTTGTGAATGGAAGGATATGGGGGGGAAATATTTTGAAGGATTCTATATTGATGTTTTGAATCTTTTCTTTCCAGCTTGAGGAAGTAATGGAGAAGGAAACTTACAAGACTGCTAAATTAATCCTTGAAAGGTTTGATCCAAAATCAAGTGCAAAGGTAAGAATCTTAATATTGATAGTGATTTAATATGAGAGATAGTATGGAGCTGAACATTCAGATAATGTTACTTGTAATTAATTGATAGGAGGCTGAACTACCATCTGCTGGAACATCTGCAACCCCAAGGCCTGGACAAGGTAATAGCCCTGTAAAATGGCTGCTCTTTAGTGTAGATACTTGTCTTTCATATCAATTTCTGCTCTAGAAGTCTCTATGATGAAATTTGTAGATCAATTGACCTTTATTTTGGGTTAATAGACTGTTTATTACACCATGCCTGTTACTGTTCTGTTTTTTTCAGACAAGGGTTCTATTACTAATGACTAATGCACTTCTAGACAGCAGGATGCTTAATGCTGCCTGATGCTAAAGCATTGAGAAAATTAACCTCTTGTGGCATAGTTGCAATTTTTCTAGAATACTAAGTTGCTTTCAAATCTTAAGCAATGTTCGTTGACTTGGCTTTTGAGTTGACTTTCTGGCTAGTTAAACTTTTCTGAATGCAGTGCTTAAACTACTTTTATAGACTGGATAGAGAGATTCCACAAAGTGAGGGCAGAAATCAGTTGCTTTCTAGGTGCAAAGACTGGCTACTTCTTTACTAGTTTATGATGTACCATTTAGAGGTTCTGTTGAATAAGATAATAAAAGAAATAGAAAAACTTGTATGCATGTCAGGGGGGCCTTGATTCTAGATTGCACACGCAGGTTTTGAGACTGAAAAGATCTCTCCCCCACACTCTCCCTGTGGAATATTTGCATTTAAAATGTGGACTATAAATTAAAAAAATATATACATGCAGACAAGCCACTGTTAAGTTTTTCTTAAAGTTGTGTGTAATATGCTGTAGTTTAACTGAAAATGTTAGTATTAATACAGTATAAAGGCCACCTTTTATTATAATACTGAAGATACCTACAAAGATGTCTCAAAAGTGTACTAATTTGCTGTTACAGCCAACTTAGACCTGTAGGGGCTGATGCTCAAGATGAACTGCAGAATCTGATGTGCATAATTTTCCATAAAATAAACATATTCCTTTAGAGCTTGTATTAGAATTGTCAGTTTTGTGTCTGATTCTTGCGAGTAACCAAACTTTTATTTGTCTAGTTTTTGCACTTGGAGTGCTGGTTTTGATGGGTGCAGAGTTCCTGTAGTTACTAACCAAGGTGTTTACAAGATGTATGGTCAAATCCACTGTTTTGTTCTTGCTTAGCTTCAATTTGTTGTGAAGACATTTTTAGCCCATCTTGTTCACATTGATAGTGAGTAGCTGTAGTGCAGTACACCAGCAGTAAAGCTTTTATTACCTCTGGTGTCCTAGGCACAACAGCTTTTTCTCAAGTTTGCTGCTTACCTGTCTCTCCCATGATTCCATTTCTGCAGCATTCATAGTTTTTTCAGACTGAAAGGCCATTATCACACTCTGTGTTCTGTCTTAATCCAGCTCATAGGTAATTGCCGAGAATTGTTGCTGCTTTTTGGCCATGTAAAAGTGGATATTCAGACTGTTGTATTTTATAGGTGAATTGTAGGTCAGGAGGCACACTGTTTGGCTTTATCTGATGAAATTCTGGAGCCTTATTTTCTAAATAACCTGTTCTTGGTATGTGCACTAATTATTTCAATTTTTAGCTATCAAAAAATGACTACCTTATTACTGTTCACACTAAATACCGGCCAAAACAAATACTAGCTTCTGTTTTGTGCAGTGTATAACTTAGATGACACCTAAATGTGGTTGCTGTGTAATTTGGTGTATGCAATATGTGGTAGAATTATGATGTTTGGGAATCATAAAATATCTGTTAGCAAGTTAACATTAAAGCTTCCTTGGTCTCTTCGCTTGCTTTGGACACAAGCTAGGCAGGCAGGAGAACTCACTGATCTTGAGCTCTGTAATTGAGTCTTTTTGAAAAGAGGGTAAATAATGACCAACGTATAATCAGGCTGGACAGTGTTGTGTATGAGGCAGCTGATAAAAGGCAGGTTAGTTGGTATTTTTTTGACTTACCAGTGGAAGTGGAAACTTGTGCATCATGCTGATTAGTTCAGAGATGTAATCAGCATTACATAATAGTTGGTTCTCATGAGAACAACTGGTGGTGCCGTGGTTTATGTAAGTAGCTCTTTTTGCAGCTTTTGTGGTTTTTGACACACATTTAAATAATTGTAGTTTTAACAGATGATTCAGATGAGTCTTGAGTTTGGCATAAGAAAGCACTTGGAAATTCAGAAGGAAGGGAATTAGAAAGCTTAAGTACAGTTTTATATATCCAGAAATGTTTTGACTGGTAGAGTTAAGGAACATATAGTAATTCAGTACTTAGGCTGATTAAAAAAAAAAGGGGAAGTAGATATTGGCAGTGGAATAAATGCTTACCAACAATATCCTGTTGATGGTAACTGCTCCCTTTGTTGTGCTAATACAACTGTTATCAGAGCTGTACTGTAAGATGACTCCATGACCTGAATTAAAGGTCATTGATAATGCAGTAACAGATGGTTTCAAGATAGGATGAGTATAGGTGTGAGAAGGAAGAAATAAACTTCTCGGTTTGTCTTTGCCTCGAAAGCAAACAAGTTATGTGTACTATTTATTGACGTGCATTGTGCTCTAGCTCTCTAAAAATTATGTATTCTTACCTAGAAAAATCAAAGGGTTTTGAAGTAAAGGAGAAATAAAATAGTTATGCTTGTAAACATGAAAGATACAGCTGTCTCACCCCTGGCAATATCTTAATATTCCTTAGGAGATCATACTGAATCATGAGTTGGGAGTAGTAGCCCTGTTAAGTAATGTGCCTGCCTATGTGTCTGTATTGTTCAGTGCTAGTAACTGCAGAATTTGGACACCAGCGTGCTTGAAGAATAAATGTTCCATTTTAAAGTTATTTAGCTGTCTTCTTCACAGAGTTGGTTTGCAGATACACAAAAATAATTCATGGGTGGAAAAGCCTTGGAAAGTTGCAAAACTTCATTAAGACTACCTCAACAGTAGCTGGATGTTGTGTTAGCTTTGAGACATGACAAACGTTACTTTGCTAATGTGGAACCTGAGTTACGGAAATCTGAAACTTTGCAAGATTCTCATTATTAATACATTGCATCTTAACATAAGGCAGTTTGAGAAGTCCATAGGTCATACGTGGTTACTGCTGAAGAAAATTAGGAGATGGACAGCTATTGTGGAGATGGACAGCAAGTTTAAAAGGCATTGGAGGAGTTCATGGGCAACAGAGTCTGTATATGATGCTGAAATGTCTAGAGAGGGCTGTATTCTCAAGCATGCCTGACAATGTGTATATAGATCCTGGGGGTGGTATCAGGGATGTAGGCAACAGAAAGCATTCAGGTTTTTGTGTTGTCATTAAATAACATCTACAACCACTTACTCATAAGTTATTCTGGTACCTTCTTTTACTTGGGGAGCAGCAGTGTTGGCAAGTTCTCTTGAGTATGTGATAAGAATAGAGTCAAAGTCAAATTAACTTCTAAGTGGAGGGGGAAGAAAGTGCCTTGTGAATAACCTGATAAAATTTTGTCAAAACTAGCAGTGAGTCTTGCATTTTTGCCTCTGTAGTGACACTGAAAACTCCTGAAGCACATCTTTCTAATACTGACTGTAAAGTACTTGGGTTGAGCATTTTCGTAGGCACAAAAATATAGGGAGTCATTAAAGTAGCAGTAACCTTGAAAGCCTTTCTGAAGGAGGCTTGCCAAAAATGACCCTTCAGAAAGAACAGGCAAAATGGGCAAAGCTCTTTCAGGTGGCAAGGAAGTTGTTTAGAAATACTGTATTATGGGCTCAGAATAAATGTGGAACCTGTTACCAATCAAAAGAGACTCAGAGCTGTTAAGCAACCAAAATTGGCATGCTTAAGCCGCATGATACAGGAAGACAGCCTTCAAAATGCTGAACTGACATCAATAAATAGGAACTGTAGTAATGACCTTTGTTTTTACATGCAAAACCATAGTAAATCAGGCTTTGTAATGAAAAAGAAGGAATAACATTTTTGCAGTGGATTAAAATGCTTTTTGTAGATATTAAAAATTATTTTGGAACAAGTGGAGTTAGACTTAATTATCACTCATATTTTACCCTTTTACAGAAGGGTTGAGAAATTGCATACCTTTAGCTTGATTTTTTGAAACTAGTACCTGAGTTGAAACTATAATACAAGCTTGAACAATAAGATAAATAAATCATGGTACAGAATCAATATATTGTTTGTAGATGAGCTGTACCTGTTAGTCAGATGGCATGGAGAGGATGATGCAATTATTCTAGTGTAGTTAGACTTGAAAGGTTATTGCTAAGGTCTGTCACAAAAAGCTCTCCAGGAAGTGTCAATGGCAAGGTTCACCATAACTGAATTCTTGGGTTAAAACTTGTCAACACATTTTAGCAGAGCTCATTCTTGCTTTGTGACAATCCAGCGTGTGGCATGTTGGCAGGGTTGCTAAAATAAGTGAATGAAATTACATGATCCAGATTAAGTGTTCTTTTGGTATTAGGAAAAAATGTTTAATTTATCCAATCTGAATTTTTTTAAATAACTGTGGGAACTCAGCCTGGATATTTTAGACTGAATGGTTTTTGGTCCCATGGAAAGCTAAATACTTGGAAGCATGTTTAAACCATAGAATAAAAATAATGGTCAGTTCTCTCTGTATGTTGTGGTTTGAATCTAGCTGTTCATATCACCAACATTCTGCCTTAGAGAACAGAATAATAAAGTAGGTATCTGCTAATTTTCTTCTAGAAGAATTTTGCCCTTGTATGGGGTTTGTTTTGATGGCATACTTAGCCAGACAGCTGGTGATCTTCATAGACCTTTTGGTTTTGTTTGACTCTAATTTGCTGATTAGAATAACCATATTAGTGTACTTAATATCTCTCACTTGCAATGCTAGATGTTAAAATTCAGTGTGCACATGTTCTTGTCAGAAATACGGCAGAGGACCACAGCTCAAAGAAATGCTTCTACATCCCCACCTGTGACTCCTAAACAAGGCTCTCCAAAGCCCCTGCTTCCAGTATCTCCTACTCTGCAGAGAGATGCATCACCTCTGAGTGGACCTCCAGAAAGAACTGCTGTGCAATCCTTGCAGTCAAACGTTTTACCAAGACGTCCTGGATCCCCTGCTACTTCAGTGCCTGGAATGGGTAAACAGAGCACTTAATGTTATTTACAGTTTATATTGTTTTCTCTGGTTACCAATAAAACAGGCCATTTTCAGACAGTATGGAAATGGCATTTTGTTTGGAAATAGCAGAGCAGTTATCTGATTAAGCAGGAGTTCCATATTCAATTAGCCATAACTCTTTACAGCTGGCACCTTTTGATGCTGAAACCTATTGCCTGAGCTCATTTAACTGTTATGGCTTCTTTGTTTAAATGGCAATAAAACTTTGCAGTATTCTGTAGTCAACAATATAGCATACCTTTTTATGTTCTTAGTTTAGAAGAGCTCTACATGTATATAAATCAGGTACAGAGGAGAACTCTTTCAGAATACGTTCATGTTTCTCACTAAACCCTGCTCATATTTTTTAACATACATCTTGACATTTATTTAAATTTTTACTCTAGGAGGTATAGTCATACAATCTATACTCATAGATTAAAGTGTAAAATACCAAATACTCCAGAAAAGCAGACAGTGTTGTAGCTGAATTCTTGTAAAATAGCTTTGGTCTTTTGGTACAAAAGTAAAAAGTTTAGCAACAGGTTGCACTCTGGTAGAGATGAGTGCTCCTTAAATTTTTACTTGATATGCTGCAAATGCTTTTTTCTTGATTTCTGGCTTGATATTCAGATGGGACTGAATTCTGCAGGGTAGAGAGCAAAACTTGGGTTTTGTGGGGGAGGCGTTCTTATTATCCTCATCGATAGTAAAGCTGTGTATGGGTTAGAGCCAGGACTTTCATTTTTTTTGCAGGATGTCTGGCAAGTAGAATCACAAGGCAAGAAAGGTGATTAAATGTTGACATGAAAATAGAAGGGATGCAACTTGCCAAGAATCTTCTGAGCCACCACTGTAATGTGGAATAGTTTTTTGCTCTTTGTACAGTGATCAAGAATACTTTGCCCTCTGTTCCTGATTTTTAGCTCAAGTAACTCAAAGTTTTAGAAACTCTATGTCCTTGCTTACTAACTTCCACAATACAATCTAAAAGTAGGACTATACATAATACATTGACACCTATTCTCTTAATGGGAGACCTTGGGCAGCTGAATGTTAAAAAGCCTGTTTGTATTGTTTAGTGTAGTGGAATTAAACTTGTCATGAAAAGCTGTGATTTCTCACTTCTCTGCAGAGATGGTTAAGCCTAATTTTCTGATAGTAATTGTTTACCTGTATTATGTAACTGGTAATTTTGTTTTTATCCCTGAAGTGAACAGTAAAGGCAAGTTATTAATAAGTCTTGAAGGTACCAAAAATCAGCTCCTTGCACTAGGAAATTGGTCCTTTAGTTACAAACCATGTTTACTGAAACCTGCTTACTGAAAATTTCTTAATGAGTTTAAAATTGTGTGCTCCTTCTCTAAGAAGCTGATTATATAATAAATACATACCAGCTATACATACAATAGTTTTGTTCTCAGGGGAAGATTCAGGCACATTGAATAAGCTGGGTGAAATTCAGCCTTTACTGCAGAAATGGTTTAGAGGAAGAAGGAAAAAGCAAAGGATGTGTTTTAAAGGACAGTTGCCAAGCCTGTTAATGAAAATACTTGATGTAGTTTTTGGGATAATGCTTCACAGGCACGAAGATAAAATTTTAATAGTAATAGTTGGTTTTGACCAAATGCATTATTTTGACATATAGTGCTAGATATAGTAGATAGCAATGGAAGCCACTGGAATTGTCAGTTAATGTGGAAGCCCTGTTTTCTCTTTAATTTCCCCAAACCTTTCAGGCATATCAAATCTGTCAGTTAGCTGTAGTGAAAAGTATGTAAATTCAGTATCTATAAGAGTAGTATCACTGCATCTGAGTTCATGCATGGCTTGTAGCAAATATATATAGCCATAATTATCTCTACATTAGAAAAGATTAATAATTCATTTTTCTTACACTATATTTTGTAGAGGAGAATCAATTTAATGTGTATTACCACAGAGCTTCCATATGTCTGGAAATTAATAACCAGCAGGTAGTTGAGAGTTTGCCAAGCTTTGCAGAAATGACCAGTCTTTCTACACTGATTGCTTTTGATGTTTATATTAATTACTGGTGTCCATAACAGCATGAGAACCAGGATGGTTGGTTAGCGTTATTAGTAGGCAAGTATTTGAACTTATTCTTGGAGTATGTTGTGATGTTTCATTCTAGGTAACTAATTTTTACCTTGTTTAATAACTTCTAGAAACTTTTCATATATTAATGATACACAGGGCATATGGAAATTTGGTCTTCTGTATATAGGGCTAAATACACATTTGAGTGCTCACCAGATATGCACAAAATTATTCTGGAGTTTTAATTTTATTGCAGATAATATCAGTGCTCCAGATCTTCACACCTATGTTGTACGATGTCCATTCACTTTTTTTTAATAGAAGTATTGGGCATTTCAGATTTCTGTGAAGCTTTTTGCCCAGACTGTTCTCTGGACAGCTTTTTCAGGATCTATAAAATGAATTGTTAAGTCCAGTTTGTGTTGCACTGAATTTGTTCTGCCTTGGTGCTGTGAGGGTTTTCTTAGGGTGCCTGCTTGTTGACAGAATAGAGGGATAACATGGGAATGCATTCACTGATTGATATGAATTCAGTTCTCTTGTTTGTGAAAATGAGGGTATTTTAAAAAACACATGTTGAGTATGAAATATTTTTTGTGCTCATTGAAGGGCTGTAAATTGCAGTATTTTCTGATCAAATTTGACTGTGCTTGTAAAGATTAGAACAGTCCATTGAAGACAATTATCCAGTATTGATGAGAAGTGTTTTGAAAGGTTGTGCTGTTAGAAATATTGGAACCTTAATGGCAAGATTAGTCTTATTCTATGTGTAGCACTTTGAAGACATTGCTGAGAATGTTTGATTCCTGCGTTGTTGCTGACATTTACTGCAGAGAATGGAGGTTAGCTGTACATGGCATTCGATTTGAGATTTGCCACAATGTGGCACAGTCTGCCCTTAGTTACTCTTTTTCCTTTGCTGCTCCAGTCCATGAAGGTTGAAAGGTAGAAGGTTTGAGATGGTAATTGCTAGCAGTTACATTTAATGCTGTATTTAAAATTAAAGCGTATCTTGGATCAGCTTATCAAATAGTAGGACTGGTTGTGTTGTCTTTGCCTGTGTATACTCGACATAAGAGGTACATGCTACTTCTGTTTGTATGTTTCTGAAAGAGTATCAGTTGTGTCAGAGTTCTGCCTTTGTGTGTCCTGGTGCTGTCCCCATTCGAGCTGCTACAAGAAAGCTAAATCTGACTTCTGAGAAGCTTGGAGTCCAGTTTTTTCCATGGTATCTTTCAATTAAATGTTCTTCTGAGTTAGTTCCAGTTGCTAACAAACTCTACTCTCTTGGTAGTACTTTATTTGGATTTTTTTAAAATCCTTGTTGTATTTTCAGACAATGGGGTTAGTTTGTTTTACCATTTTAGCTTGCTCTTTGTTTATTTGTCATTATGGGAGAGTCTGTGAAACAAATCTTCCCAAGAAAAATTCTGGAAGCATAGCAAATTGAAAAGAGAATTGAAGGCTGAATCTGTGGTCACTAGAAGCCTTTCATTTAAGCCACACCTTCTGTTATATCCATTTTTATTGGATATAGCAAGAACAGATACAAGCCAGAACATTTCTTTGAGAAAATACTGGTCACTTTTTATGCCTTGAGAATTTTGCTTGTGATAATTAAATATGCTTAGTTTTTGCATGGCTTCAGATTACCCTATATTTATCTCAGTATGAAACCTGATATTAGCTGATTATCTTCTGTCTAACCTTCTTAATGACTTTGAGCATGAATAGGACTTTTGCATTGTTGGAAGTAATTTTCTTCATTAGGTTATCTTAATTTTGTCTGAAAGTGGCTTGAAGCTGACATCTCTCTCAGTTTCAGAGTTCTGAAAGGACTGGTTTGTTTTCTTACTCAACCATCCTTTTTTATGGCCTTTCAATGTAATTCATAAAGGTCTTATGGAAATACATTTTAAGTCTTTGCCTTTTCTGCTTTCTCCCCCAAGTGCTTGCTTAATTATCTCACATTCGGGACTGTCTGGTATCAGTTTACTGAAAGTACTGTAACATATTATGTCCTGTGCTTCTGTAAAATATTTCTTGGCCAGGAACATAGCCTTGGGAAGAAGTTTCAGATACTTAGTTATATGAATGGTAGTATCTGCATGTTTCAGGCATGGTTTCTTACCCAATCATGTTTTCCACATGACACCTAGCATCTTCTGTTTTAAAGGCTGGAAAGGAAGGTAGACAAAAGTAGTCAAAGAAAGCTACATAAATAGAAATGAGTAGCTTGCGGTGCTATTGTGCAACAGACCAGATGTTTTAAAACTTTGCAGAAACAGAGTTTGTTTGTACTACAGCTCTACTTTAACTGCCATGTGTGCCACAGGTGAAAAAAGTGGTGCCAACTATTGATGTTACCTGTTCTTAATGGAGCTTTATTTTGGTAGTAGTTAGTTAATCACTTGGGATATGAGAAATGATACCTTAATAGTGGTCTTTTGGATTCTTTGACTAAGCAAAAATCTGAAAGTACTCAACTTCCTATTAAATGTGGGACTACCACAATGCCAAGAGACAGGTTTAATGCGTAGACTGAATGCACTCTGAGGGCATAGTCGTGTGGTACAGACATTACACAGAAACCAGTGGGTACTTCTTTGGTAACATCTTTAATTCTTCTACTGCTGTAATTGATTTTACCAGGTTTATTGGTGTAAACCTGGAGCGTTGAATATGCAGTTGAGTGCATGAAGAAAACTCAAATCAGGAGTTTTACTTGGCTAAAAGTGCTCTGTGAGTAATCATTAAATACTATTGATGCCTTAGGTTCTTTAGAAACTATACATTTAACTATGTATCAAAGGTGAAGAAGGAGAGTGATTTAGTAAGTTTATAAGCTAAAGGAACAGAAGAGGAACTTCTAACTATTTAAAAATCTTACAGCTCTCCTAGTGGACTAAGAGATATGGCCATGTGTATTATGTAGCTGCAATTATTTTATTACACTAGTGTGCACAGTGAAATATCAGATTATATATAAATATAGTTGAAGAGAATTTTGACATAGTTTGTGTCTTTCTAGGTCTTCATCCTCCAGGCCCTCCTTTGGCAAGACCTATTCTTCCTCGAGAAAGAGGAGTTGTTGATAGAGTTATTGAATATTTGGTTGGCGATGGTCCTCAGAACAGGTAAAACGTTAGGAAATACATTAACACTTAAGAGACTGGAAGCTTCTTAACTTATTTTTTTAAGCCAGATAGGTCAAAGTTAAAAGAATTGCAAATAAATTTGTCTGAAATTTCTATAATTAAACTGCCCATTCTCAGTGCTTCACCTGAAATCTATTTGAAGGAAAAATGGTAACGTTTTGACAAAATCAACATCCACTTTGGGTGGTATTAGCCATGTGATACAAAAATAAAAATCTATGCTCAAGTGGGTGGATGATTTTGAACTAAAAATAGGCATTTCTGCTTTATTAGCCATATAAATACTTTCAGATTTCCTTTAGAACTGTCCAAATATATCAGAACTAGATCTTAACCATGGTCATGTTTCATATTGACTGTATTATAAAGAAATATAAAATTAATGTGCATGTTATTTATGATGTTATAAAAAATAAGTTGAACCATGAGGTTTTAATTGTGGGTAAAAGTACTTCACTGTTCTAAAATAAAATTTTAAAAATATTATTTCATACACAGATTTAGTTTGCTTTATAGCATAGTAATTTCACAGTCTAAATTATCTTCGAAGAGTAAATATCACAGAATCTCAGTATGTTGGGGGTTGGAAGGGACCTCGAGATCATTGAGTCCAACCCCCTGCCGGAGCAGGATCACCTAGGGCAGGTCACACAGAAATGCATCCAGATGGGTCTTGAAGGTCTCCAGGGAAGCACACTCCAAAACCTCTCTGGGCAGCCTGTTTGGTAACCCCTACAACTATTAGTCAATATCCAAGGGAAAATGCATTTCACTTCAGTGTGTTATTACTTAAAGGTATGTAATATATTATCCTTGTTTTCTAGGTATGCCCTTATATGTCAGCAATGCTTTTCTCACAATGGTATGGCTTTGAAGGAAGAGTTTGAATACGTAGGTAAGAGCTAATCTGTGGTAGATTCTCTAGTAGCTGGCTTATGTTTCATAACTAACATGTATCATATTTCATTTTGGTTGTAGTTAAGTACTTAACTGTCACTAAAATGCCACTTCACACAGGAACAGTTTTATGGTAACTTACTACTCTGTACCTTCAGATTCACTTCACGACTAAGACAGGTACTTTATTGCAACCTCCAGGCCAAGTATTTTATGTGTAGAAAACTATTCAGTAGAAATAAGCCTCTTCCAATACATCCCTGAGAATTGCTACTGGCTATGAATGGTTCTTAGGAGGTTTTTATATTGAGAAACTACCTGACATTAAAGTGTGCCTCTTTTTCCAGAACTTAAACAAAATTTTGCTTTGGCAAGAAGATCTTGGGGAGGTATTGGAAGAGGAGTGGGAACAAGCCCTAGGGGGCTATAAGTGAATTTATGGCTGACAGTAACTTAAGACAGACACAGTTCTTTACTGAACACAAATGTTTTATTTTGCCTCCTTTCTACCACAAGTGTAAGCCTGATACTTAAGAAATGAGGGAATCTTAGATAATCTTCTTTAATTTTGTTTTGCTTATTTTTGTGGGTAAATATACAGCATTGTAAGAATAAGCTGAACATTTCTTGTGTAACCAAAGATAAGCAGTTTATATGTCATCTTAGCTCAAGTGAGTTCACAATTCAACTGTGCAAGAAATTGCTACTTTCCTCCTTGTCTTGGGGGAGAAATAGGCATTTAATTATTAAGTGGTATCCAGTACTTCTCCAGAACGAAACTGCCTTTTCTTAATTAAACACCACTGGAGCAGAAAGCTCCTCAAAAAGCAGAGTGAGACATACCTTGCAGAAGCCATAGTATCCCCTTACTCGAAGGGTGAGGAAAAAAAAGAGAAAAAAACCTAAGAATTGTGTGCCAACTGAGTTGTAGGAAAGAATAGAACAGCACCATGTGGCAGTATCTGATACTTATTTTGTTCATTGTGGTTAAGTCCTTCACAGTCATGGGCAGTACTTATAATTGCAGCAAAGCTAAAAACTATCAGGTTTTTTAAAAAGCAAATATATATGTGAATCAGAAATGGAGCTAAATGGAATGGGTTGCATAAACTTGATGGAGGTACTTGAATGCCGATAGTCACTTATTCAATTTTCTGGTTTTAGTGTTTTGGACAGTCAGAATGTAGTGTAGGAATAAGATGAAATGTGAAATTAATTAGTGAGGCTACTTATTGGGTGTGCTTTTGTGTAGCATTTAGATGTGCCTACTGCTTTTTCCTGAATCCTGCAAGAAAAACTAGACCTCAGGCTCCACGACTTCCAGACTTCAGCTTTGAAAAAAAACGGCCTAAAGAGTTGCCATCTGAAACTGAGCCTCTAGAGCCTGGAGAGACAAAGTCTCAGGAGACTCAACAGGCAGAAGGTATGTGCTAATCATGTGAAGTCTGTTTTTTTAATGTCTGATGAAGTCCCTCCCCTGTCATTTAGTACTCTGTCTAGATGAGTGTTTTTGTAAGAATAAGACCAACTTTTTTTGTAAGAATAAGAACAAGTGAAGAATGCAAACACTGTAGCAGACTTCCTAGGGGGATGGCTGATGCCTCAAGCTGGTCAGTGTTTGAGGCATTTGGACAATGCCCTTAATAACATACTTTTAGTTTTGGTCAGCCCCCAACTGGCCAGGCTGTTGGATGATATGATTGTTGGTCCCTTCTAACTGTATTAGTGTATTCTTTTCTAGCTTCACAGCAGATGCAGTTGAAATTGCTTTTTCAATTTTTCCAATTCTCCTTATCCCTACTTCTAGCTTAGCTTGATACTGTCTTCTCTCCTGAACCCTAAAATTTCTTCATATTAGGCAATATATCTTGTGCAAATTATGGCATAATGATTTTTTTCACTCTGTTACCGATAAATAGAAAATAGCACTGATTTACAGAAATTGCTTAAGTCCTGAAGTGGTTAAGTTTCACTGTGTTCAGTGGGTCATTTGATTGAGGTGTGTTGGAATTTATGCCTTTGTTCTTTTTTGCTGTTTTCCTCAGGGCAGGAAAATCTAGTAAAACTGCCTTGTATAAAATCAGGGAGTTCAAAGACAAATTGTCAATTTTAATTTAACATAGTTCCTTTTGGAACATTTTATAGTCTGCAGGTACAGTAGGCATCTGGTGTACAGCCAACAGGAAGATGCAGTGTTTTAAAAGACTGCAGAAATTATAGTTTAAGACCAGAGAATCTCCAGTTAGTTGTACTGTTGTTGAGTATTCAAATGGGACTTTAGTTTAAATAGGGATCATGGGGGGAAGCTATCAAATAATGTATGTCCCCAGGAGTAGTGTAGAAACACACCAACTGTGGGAAGCTGTCAGAGTGTAGCAGGAAGAATGTTGCTGCTTGATTATCTTCAACAGGCAGTTCGAAGCAGCATTGGCCTTCATTTTCTGGCACGGGAAGGCTGTGTGAGACCAGTAGGAAAATCATATCTAACTCTAGCCATTTCTAGGTGTGTTTTGATGTGGGTGCATTCTAGGGAAGCATTTCTTGGTGTCTTTTCCTGTGCCATATTGTGCTCTGACTTCATTAAGGGTACTGTTACTAGCATGAAGGTAAGACAATGCAAATGACATCTTCACCCTCAAATAAGCAAATCATCTTTTCAGTGAGTGAAGGGCTGGTTAGTAGATTTTTTCTACTTTTAAAGTTAGAAGTTTTCTTTAAAGTTTTCTTACAGAGAAGACAATTTGTTACTGAGGACTTCAGAACTCTACTTATTTTTCTATATGTGAATAAAATGGGGAAGCCCTTAAAGATGGGATACTCAGCTCTTGGAGATGTGTGATTCCAGGACTTCTAAGTACCATCTTGTAAATGCAGGTTCTTGAAGGTTTTAGGAGAAGGGGAGTTGCTAATTAAGGTGGTATTATCATTGAAGAAAACATTACTTAAACTATGCCTTTAAAAGGTTTGAGCTACTGAGTCAGTTTATAGATGCTGTAAAAAATGTAAAACCTTAAGAATTAGTATGTGATTTTTGTTAGGCACTACAGATGTGGGAGTGAAAATTCTGCAAAATAAATTTTTATTTTTTTCAAAAGCAGAATTTGTTAAAGTGTTTCAAGATGATAATAGGATTGGTTTATTGCAGTAAGTGGGATTTTACAAGTTTACCTGAAAATTACTTGGGTTTTGGTGGTGTGATCTTGTATTAATGTGCTGTTTTATTTAAAAACAATGACAAAAGAAACTGTGGCGTTCATTCCCCAGTTCTCTTTTCCTCCTAGGAAGCATATGGTGAATTTTTTTCAGAAGCAGCATTAGACTTCTGGTTTTACCTAGCTTAGGTGTTTAATATTTTATGAATATTTCATCTCCAAGATGATATAAACCATTCTGGTTTGATAATTAGTAAGCATCCAGAAATAGAGTATGTGTTAATATTTTATATAACTAGTCTGATAAATGTCTTGTTGATGTTGAAGAGGCCAGTACTACCCTGTCAATTTGTCACTGTGCATTAACTACCTGCGACTTGCCACAAAATAATCCCTTCTGAATGAGAAGATACCATTTTCAGTAATCACTTTTTCTATCAAAACCCTAATTTGAAACATAACTACTTACAGGCAGTTGGGCTTTATGAATCAATGAATATATTCCTTAATTGTAAGTTTAAGATATGAAGCTATTGTTGAAGTATGGCTCTGGGGAAGGCTTTTTTTCACTACAGCAGTGTAGCTGCTGTCATAGTAAGAATAGAGAATATCTTCTTTTACAGATGTAGAAAACAGTAACATCAGGAAATGAACCTCACCATAATGTTGACAACTCGGGGAGATCCAGCTCTTGTCTGTAACTCATATAAACCGTAGCTGTATAGCTTGAAGAAACTGCAAGCTAATGTCATACAGAAGTGCTATAAATATTTTTTACCAGTCAGCTACTTACGCTAATGCATAGACTGTGAAGCTGAATCTTTTTTCACTTGTGTGCTCATGCAGTGACAAGCATGTTGCATGCAATTCCTGTGGATAAGAGATCTGAAGAATGGTTATGGGGAGTGCTGTTGGCACTGAACCTTGGATTTTGTAATCATCTCAAAATGTGGAGTCATCAGATGTTAATCTAATGTGGATTACTGGCACAAATGTCACTCCTTGCTCTTCAGCAGATCAACTTGGGAAATGTTAGAACAAGAACGAAACAATATACTTGATTTTTTTTTCTTACCTTTTTCATAAATGGCTCAATCTTGAATTTTTTTCATCAAAGCCTACTCAGTTCTCTTTCACACTTCTCTTAAAAGTATTAATGTTTTATGATATTGAAAAAGCCAATAGGAACCACTTTTATCCTCTTGCTTAATTTTACTTCACCTGTATTTGGTACTCTTACACTGCATTCTTGAATCAGGTTTAGCATTTAGCAATGTTTTGAAGGTTGAAACTGCTTCAGTTTGACAGCTTCAGTGTTTTGTGGTGTATATCTGGTGCTCACCTTCAGAGGTCTTAATGACTGCTGTGAAGCACTTGTTCCTTAAAGATCTTTCAGATGTGGCACTGTGTGAAAGTTTGTTCAAATGGGGAGCTGCAGTAGTGAAAAAAAATAAAGTAGGTATATTTCAGTTAAATTGTTTTTAGTATATATGATATACATACTTAGTACAATCATTTTTAGTGAATTCCTGGATAACAGACTTACCTCATCTACTTAATTTAACAGTGATTCAGTATCATGATTTCACTGGTTCCTTATTGAAATATTTTCTGCAACAAGAAGAGAGGTAGCTGACTACTTAAAATGTGAAGTACATAGGCTTTCTGAGTACTAAGCAGGAGTGCTGGGGCAGGGAGGGGAAAGGAGCTTCTGTAGCCAGGAGCAAAATTTGCCTAAGGCTGGTGTAGAGCTGTTTGCTGTCAAGATCATGTATGTGTAGCTACATTCTTCAGTTATATAATGGATTAAGTATAATCAAGGACAGTAATATTCTTTTGTCATCTTTTTAAGTTTATGGTTGTCAGAGCTTTCTCTTGTTATCTACTGCTGCTACAACAACTTAAATCATGCAATACTGAGATCAGGTTGTCTGGAGGCAACCTTTCCATTAATCAGTATATTTAAATATTTAAAAATCACTGTATATGTTTAATGGACGTTGGTCATGTTTACAGTTGGAGATAGCACTGCTTACTGATTGCCCTGACTACTCATTTAAAGAACCTTCTTTTTAGTTCCTAGTAACTTTGCCAGACTTAAATATGACACCAGATTTTTCCATTGAAATTTGTTTGTTTCAACTTGTATATTCTGTAGACTTGTAAAAGTTTCACTAAGTTTAATCAAGAACAAGGTGAAGGGAAACTCATATAATGCCTGAGAATTGTTTCTTAGAAAAGCAGTGATTCCACACCTTTTAGTGGAGAATAAACATGAAGCAGCATCCTTCTATTCCTTTGAAATACAGATTATTAGAGCAACCACTTGATCAGGTTTTCTCCTTTTTGTTAGAAGGTTCTGCTTGTTTTCAGTAATGGCTGATTGTCCTTAGGGCTGTCCTCAAACATGTTGTATGTATTTGGCATCCTCCTGATCAGACTAGGTAATCTCTTCACCTTAATCAGAATAAAAACGAGTCGCTTCTGCAAAGTGTTAAGCATCATTCAGTTGAAGACTGCAGGACTGAAACTTGGTAAATAAGTAATGTTTGGGCTTTGCTGCAAATGAGTTGAGAGGGCATGGAGTTCTCTTCCTCATATCCTATGCTTTCTTTGACTCAGCCCTGAACAGCAGCAATAAAGAAGGAATGTTAAGTGTGGAGGTATGGTAGCAGGAAAAGCACAAACTTATTCATAGAATTTGAGGCTGAAGAAGAAATGCAGAGATGAAACAGAAAGAAAACTGACAGTTGGGAGATAAAGATTGAGCACAGACTTGAACAGCATCAAGATGGAAATTGAAGAGCAGGAAGGGGAGAGTGGGATTGTTTGGAAAGAAACTGGAAACATTAATTTGCTTGGGAAGAAATGGGAGGATTTACCATGTGACAGATGGCTCCAGAAAAATCCTGTAATGAGGAGCCGGGCTCAGTGTTGAGCAGCCTGTGATTGAGAAAGCAGAGAAGGAAGCTGAATCAGAAGGTAAATTGGCTGCAAACCTGCTAAGATGGAAAATCAAGTCAGAGGAAGAAGTGGAGAAGTTGGGCTGCACTGACCAGTTCTAAGTGGAGCCTGGAACTAGCTAAATGGAGCTGTGTGTGGGAAGAGGGGCCTCAAGTTCTTGGTGATATCAGCCTGAAGCAGTTTGATTACTTTCAGATGTCCAACACATTTTAGTAAATATGAAATTACAAACATAAGATGAGGCTAATATTTTGAGCTGTAACTTTGCATCAGTTTTGCAAACTGTTTGCCTTCACAATGCATTAATGCTATAGTGTTGACTAATACTAGTCAATAAATAAACCATCATCAGTAGTATCATTTTACAGTACCTTTGTGTCATTTAGTGCAACACTTAGTGTTCAGTTTTTCAGTGCTAATGCTTACATAAAAATGTGACTGTCTTATTTCTCATATGCTACTGGAATTCTTTTGTGAAGCTAGAATTTACTTCTTTAGAGGTAGTACTTATGATAAATATTTTTAACTGGTCTTCAAAATATGCGTGTTATCAAAGCAACTCTCATCCCAGATTTAGAATGAAGATACTCTTGTGTATCTTTCCTACGCTTCCGGTGGAAAGATTGTGAATACATAGTAGTTTTCATTGGCTGTTTTGAGAAGTTGAGAACTAGATTAGAATAGTCTTTTTTGTAGTTACTTGTATCCTTATGTTTAAAGTAGCTTCCACCAAATAGAATGTTTAGGTTCTCTGTACAGATTGAATTACAGAGTTTACCACCTTACATGCAGTTGGTAAAACTTGCATTACCAAGCACAAAGAAGCTGAATTACCATTGGATCATTTCTAGCATTGTCTTAATAAACAAGCTTAGAAAAATTCTGTTGAGGGTGAACATATACAAGTAATAAATCGTATTTTCATAGTAGGATATGAAGTCTTTTCCATAGTATTTTATTTTTCTTAATTTTTGCAGGTTTTAACTGTGACTCTCTTGTTTGAAAAATAAAATAGCTTTTAGAAGTTGAGAACTTCGTGCAGGGACTAGTCAAAAGCTGTGTGTGATAGCAAAACACTTTGCTTTTTAAGAATATTAGCTACCTCTTCATTTAGGAAATGGTTATTTTATAATTTTCCTTTTCACAGAATCTGGAGAAGACACAGCCCAGATCACTGAGGCAAATGAGACAGATGATAAAGCACCAAGTCCTGAGCAGCCACATGATAAGCTATCTGAAGAAGTTGAAAAAGAAGAAGCAGAAAACATTTCAGCAACTGAAGACTCTATTTCAGAGGCTGTTCCAGCTGAACAAAGTGAAGAATCTTTAATGAAAGCAGAATAAAGTACTTCAAGTGCCTTCTATAGCTAGTTTTTAGCTTTGTTCATGCCTGTTGTTACTATTCAGGTGAGCTTTTTTTAATGGTACAACTTAAAAATCTCGCTTGAGCTTAAACTGCCTCAACTGCCACAGTATGTCAAAGCTATGTGTAGAAATGGGTATTGTAAATTAAGCATGTCTTTAAATAAGTTAACACACAGAATGTTTAGTTAGGTGAAGTCTAACAGTTGTAGCTGTTGTTCAGTTTGCATATTTAAAAACATAGAAGTCTAAGCTTTGCCAAGGGTGACCTGTAATTTGACATCTCTTTAGCTGTCACATACGTATATAGAGCAATTAGGAGCAGGAACTGACCTAGTAAATTTGCTCTACTGAACTTAAGATACTTTTAATGCTTCCCTGTTAAAATAAATTGAATTCATTTAAAATACACAGACGTTTACAAGCTAAAGTGTCATCCGACATTTGACTTAAGCATATGAAAGTGTCATTACCATGGTGTTAATGTTATTCATTGTCTAACTTTTGGACAGAATTCAGTTAAATGGCACTCGGATAAATGGCATCTCCTTTGGTTTTTTGCATTGCAGATGAACCAGAGGCACGTACATATGAAACTGTTTTGTGTTTACATAAAATATAGAAAGTCTCTGCACTTGATTGTACTTGAATACAACGCACTATTTATACCTGTACAATAATGACAAAATATGAGTGACTTTTGTGCCTTTGTGTATTTTGTTTAAGGAAAATAAAGACATCTAGCAGCAATACTTGCTTTGTGATTCCTAAAACTGAAGGTCATTTCTCTTCTGCTGTATCTAGCTATTTTACAGCTTCTTTGTGGAAGTTCAGAGGGAATACGATACCTTAAAAGGAGCTTGTCTATATGTAGCTAAGGTAGCTTTGATAACATAGGAACAGATCCCTGATCAACAGGAGAAGCATGTGTGCATTTGCAATTAGACTTTCCTAACTGTGCCTGAAGTCTGTTGATAATATATTTTGTTAAAATTACAATGTATATTTGCTGGATTACAGAAATTGTTCTTTTTATTGAATAGCTTTTCAAACTAAGGACACTTACTACTCACTTCCTGTTAAATATAACAGTTGGGAACCTGGACTAGAATTTTTATGGTGTGAGGAAGTGAGGTTTGGATTTTTTTTAGAAAAAAATGGATTTTTTTAGAAATAAATGTGTTACTTGGTTAGAGTTGTAGTTGTTTGGATAAAAGTTTTTCTACTGTATGATGTTCTGTGTACCTCACTATATGAAGGGAAGGAGGAACCTCAAACCCATTTTTTTTTAAATCCGTCATCTTCATCCTAGAGTGAACTGGTTTTACAGTGTAAAGGCAATAAAAAGCTAAACCTTAGTAGCTCAAAAGCCCTCTACAAGAAAAACATGTTTCTAAACATAACCTTAATATCCATGTCTTTATATGAGACATAATTATTATGTAAACAGCAATGATTAACTTTATTTTCCAAATATATGCTTTGTTTTCTGATTCTTTTTGGCTAGTTTAGAAGCTGAACCCTTGCATCAGTCATAAACCAGTTTGGTCTGTATTGAGATAAATGAGGAAGTTTTTGTCTGGTTCACTAGCTAAGTTGCAATTTGTATTTTAATTAGTAATCTTAATAGACAGCATGTAGGCATGTGATTAAAGAAGTACTTGTAGATTTTTGGCTATATTTGTATAAATAGTATAAATATGTAATGATCTTGTAGTTGGGAATACAAAGAAAGCAGTCCCTTTTCCAAACATGTCTTGTGATATGAGAAAGGTACAGGATAAAAAATGATAGGGGAAAGCATTTTTGATAATTCAAAATTATATATTTTATATTCCAGAACTTCTTTAAAATTGAATTAATTTTGCCTGGAAGCTGGCAAAACTTCCTCAGTATTTTGTAAGACTTTCCAATGTTGGTGTCTATGCTGCATTTTGTACATCACTGATTTTTCTGTTTGAAGGCTGATTCCTTTGAAGGAAAAAATATATCACAGAACACTTGAGTAATTCAGGACAGTACTTGTTGAATGTACTTATGTTATAAGAACTAAAGTAAAATATTACATTATTCCTTTATATGGGATGTCAATGCATGAATTACTGTTGCTTCAGAAGTTAAGGCTACTCTAGGCCCATGTATTACTTTCTTTTAAAAAATTTGTATCTTAAGTGTCAGGCTTTTGGTAGAGTAATTTTAGGTCCTTCCCACGAGAAGCAACTGTGAGCTGGAATGCATATAATATCTGTTGAATTGACTGAGAAAATAATCTGTTGATATTGGAGCTATATATTAAACTTTTTTTATTAGCTTGGAAGGTGCCTGTTTTCAGATGTCCTGCTTCTGTGAAGGAAGCTGATATTTCTTAGGTTGTTGAGAATCTAATTTTTAATTATTTTTTTTTTTAACAGGAGACTCAGTATCTGGTATAGGGTGGAGGGATGGGAGGGCTGTATTTCTACCAACATTCTTTAATGTGACAGCAGCAACTTGCCACAGGAATAATTGATACTTTAATATGTCACTGAAGGATTGAGTAGACACAGTCAACCTGATGTGAAAACAAATACCTGTTAAAATGTGAAAACCTATCGTTATGAGTTGTAAAACTACCTAGAATTTTTGAGGAGTGGAAGAATTAAGTGTTTTAAGCACATGCTTGAGTTTTCCTGAAATACTTTAATACTAAAAAAAAGTTTCCAAGCAGTCTTTCTCATTTATTTCCTCAGAAAACTTGAGAAAGATGTTAAGGATAGTCTGGTATTTTGGTAGAGAAATATGTATTTTTAACTTTGTAATTTTGCAGGGTTTTACAGCAGCTATAGTAAATGAGTAGAGGGTTAATTAATTTGTAAGTAAATTCAGGCTCAGGGAGTTACCTGTGATAGCAGTATAATCTGGACTTTCCTCAGCTGACAGTAAGCATTCACACATTGCTCCTGCCAAGTGTGTGTACCCCAGTCCTGATACAAATGTGAGGACTCTTTATCTGCAGCCGTTGCTTCTTGGCTTCTGTCTACTGCATGTGTGGCAACAGTAAAAGACACCTGTCAACAGGAATTGGGTTGAAATCCAAAAATACCTGTCAGTGAACAGCAGTAGCCGTACTTAGTCATGTCTTTGTAACACCAAAAAAAAACTGGAAGTGGGACTATGTAGAGCAAAAAACATGGCAACTGTCAGTAGTATTTAATACAATTGCAGACTGACTCTCAAAAGATGAGAAGCTGGAAGAAAGTAGGAAGAAAAATATAACAAGTTCTGTGGTTCCATATTTTGTTGTCTTCTCACTTTCTATTATGTACTTGAATCTTAATTTTTTTAGAAGTACTTAAAAGCCTGGTCCTGTGAAAATCACTTCTGAGATACAAGCTCCCTTTCTTCCCATGGCCTGGATGAAAAGCAAAGTAAAGTGGGGTGGTAAAGTAATGCTTGGGAAGGTTGTTGGTGCCATCTTTGTATTACTTCTGAAATATTGTGAGTTAATTGCAGAGATCTCCTTTTATTTAAATGTAGTTTATATATGAGGGGGGAATTATCTGGACTATGTGAAATCTGCCACAAAAGACAAATGAGTGTTCTAAATCAAAATAACTTTAAATGAGTCAGTCTTACTAAGATGCCTGCAGATGAGGGGAATGAGGGAATGTTACTTCAAAATCTAATACTTATTCTAGAGGAGAACACAGTAGATTACCTGTGGATATTTTGGCAGAAATAAGTCCTTTAGTGGAATCCTGGTAGGAAGACAGTTTGTCTCAAAGCTGCTCAGCCTATGCACAGGAAACGCATAAGCTCAAAAGGAAAAGAAATGAAGGTGACATGTAAGCTTGAAAATGTATGGACTGGTCTAGAGGTTGTCAGAGGGGTATAACTAGGGGTGCTTATGGCTGCTTAAAAGTCAAGAACAAGAAGGTTGAACCCCGTGTGGTACATGAGTAGAAAAGAATGGAAGGATTTAAAGAAAAGAATGACAGAGTGAAACAGATCGGTGGGGAGAATAGTGATTTAGTCTGTCAGAACAAGGCCTTAATCAAGAGATAAGAAGATAAGAGCTTGAAAAGGTTTTTCATTAAGTGTAGCAGAGTTTGGCTGTTACTACATGGCAGTACATATCCCAGGTTATCATATTCTTATGTCATAAAAAGAAATCATAAGGATGCAGCTGACAGTGAATCATATTGGAAAAGCTTGTTTGTTTTTTTAGAATGAATTCCAGAATAAGCAGATGACAGTAACTTGGTAGAGTAAGACTCCATCTATTACTAGAAGTGATGGTTGCAAAATTGCTCTTATGCTTTTTATTTAAACATAAAACCCCAGAAATTATGTTCTACTTCCAGGATTGGTGAAACTGTTGCAATATTTTGTTTTTATAATCTTATTAACCTCCAAAGGCTAGGAGAAACACTCTGGTGCATGGTTTTGAGCTTAGCAATATTTTTGTGTATCTGTGGTAATGGACAAGTAAGTAGGGTAGAGGAAACTGTGCCTTATTGAATGGTTAAGTTTAAATTTCATTAGGTCTGAACATCTTCCGTAGAAGACTACTGGATGTAAAGAAATTTCTAAGTAAGCTGCTTCTGGAGTGAGATTTTGCTAGGTCTTCCACAATGAGGAAGACTGTGGGGTAAGGAATGGCCTCTCTATGAATATTTCCCTAGAACAGCAACCTTGAAGATTCATTTTGCATCTTTGTTGGCAAATAATAGTTTGACCATTTTATTGAATGTTCTCAAGGAAAAGCTTTAGGCTGTAATTTCCTTCCATGTCTGGCAGGTTGATTTTTTTTTTTTTTTTAACCTAATATCACTATGATCTTTCCTGTCCAGTCACATAGTTAAAAGTTTTTGCCTCAGATCTGAGCACCTCAGATCTCGATTATTTTATTGAACTGATAAATACAAACCTGCCCATATTTCAGTTGTAGTGAGCCTCTGAATTTTCATGTATGTTTGTGATGTCTAAGAGACTGTATAGAAGACATATCCTTAATACAAACTAATTTAAAAAAGGCTACAAATACATACAGTCCATAAACACTAGGAGGAAAGTAAGTTTTCCCTGAATAAACTCAGACTAGAAATTGGAAAGTTCCTAATAATTTGAACAAATAGCC